CGGGGTATATATGATAGTTAATAATATGTGTCATTATGACAATGTGGATGTCGTTGTTACGATGCACATGCATTGTACAGGGTATATATGATACAGTTAATAATAGGTATCATTGTGACAATGTGGATGTCGTTGTTACGATGCACATACATTGCACAGGGTATATATGATAGTTAATAATATGTGTCATTGTGACAATGTGGATGTCGTTGTTACGATGCACATGCATTGTACGGGGTATATATGATAGTTAATAATATGTGTCATTGTGACAATGTGGATGTCGTTGTTACGATGCACATACATTTTACAGGGTATATATGATACAGTTAATAATATGTGTCATTGTGACAATGTGGGTGTCGTTACTACGCTGCACATGCATTGTACAGGGCATATATGATACAGTTAATATGTGTCATTGTGACAATGTGGGTGTCGTTATTACGATGCACATGCATTGTACAGGGCATATATGATACAGTTAATAATATGTGTCATTATGACAATGTGGATGTCGTTGTTACGATGCACATGCAAAGTACATGATATATATTGTATTGGCAGTGTGCATTAAATGTCCTTTGAATATGTTATATTGGCGATGTGCATGAACTATACTTGAAATATGTCCTATTGGCGATGTACATGCACTGTACCTGGAATATTTCATATTGACGAGATATACAGGAAATGTACTTTAAATCTGCCTTACTGACGATGTACATGAACTGTACTTCTAATGTGTCATGTTGGCGATATTCTTAGATTTAATTTGAGAATACAATTTCACCATTACATATACAATTTTAACCCTTTTTAAGAATATGATTTTATCTTCTATCAGTTTTTAGAAATCTATAAGTTAACTTCGATTTTCATTTTATTTGTTTTACACGAGTGCAGTTACTTGAAAACAAGATATTGAAAGGTCTGTTTCATCTATCACTTTTGAAAGGTCAAATCGGTTCGCTAAATTCAGAATCCAAATCAATCCACTCGAGCGACTGTAATTGAGATTGGTTTGCAATAAAAGAGCAATTTGTTACTGCAGTCTTTTCTAGGATTAATTTGTAGTCAAAACCGTCGTTAATGGAGAATTTCGATCGAAATTCCACGCCTCTGTCAAAGAAGGGCTTAATAAAACCGGTTGATTAGCTTCAGCAGCGTTGAATGATGATGGTGAAGGACATATTTTCACGGACACTCAACAAATGTCGATAGATCAAGTACATGTTATGATGAAAACGATAGCTCAATAGTTTAGGAGACTCATGAACTTGACAGTCAAGTCTATTGCTTGTAAATTTGAAACTGATTTTCAGCCGCTTATCATCTGATTTTGTTCAGATTGCATTGTAGTAAGTAAGGCGCATTGTGTATCGAATCAAACACCTTATTTATAATAAGGTTTTGTGCATTTTCAATTTTGTGAGGTGTATGATGCACAGTCTTGATTTATCACCCACACTTTGAATAGAATTTAGCGCAATTCATCCAATAATGTCTGTATGTAATGACAAGTCTTCATACTTTTTAACATCAGTCACTTCCATATTTAGCTCCTATTTTCAGTTAATGATACATTGGATAGTAAGATGAGTTTTATTGCTACACATCGGAAACTGAAATGGGCTCCACCGGCTTGTAGCTTAAGCCATGAAATAGAAGTATGACAACACTAGCAAATACAACCACACAAATTTATGAAAAAATGAAAGACCGAATCCCACGGTCTTGATACCATGAAGCACTTCTAAGGTTAACTATGTTAAAGAAAATTTATAAAGTTCATTTTGTTTGTGAGAAACATAATGGGCTGATCTGTTTGCAGAGAAAAGGTCTAGACCAAATTTAACTAAACTAATAGTGGTGATCTATAATGTGTATAGAATATGATTAGAAGATCGAACAAAACTTAACTAAATCAAACATATTACACTATCTGATATCATAGGGTTTTCTTTTAATTAATTACGGGACTCTCAATATTTGTAAGAGACGTCAATGAGATCTCTATAATTGCTCAGTTTTGTAATTGCCTGTACTTTCCCGTGCCGACTCATTTATTTACGTTGACCGTCTAGAAATATTTGCTCGATGAAAGCAGTTCCAATCTAATTAAAAACTCTCAACCAATCAATCTATCTTTCCTTAGCATTTCTTGAGCCAAAGTCATTTATTGGGAAGTTCTTCAATTTCCTGTTACCTATTACCACAAAGCCATCAAAACAAGATGACTGTCTGGGTAAGGTACAGGGATTTCAATACAGGCAGTAGACGAGACAAGTAATCAAATTTAGGCATCCTTTAAATGCCAGATGACTTAGAGTTGACTTTGAGGTAATCTTGTATTAACTTCGTGGTTATGAACTGGAGAGAAGTTTTAATTTCTGATGTGTTATTACCAGAAGCAAGGAGATTAGAGTGGCAAGCAACGATATCTAGTAGTTAAATGAAGCTAAGATAATGCGAAATTTGGCATGCAAAGGGTCAATATTTCAGTAATATTTGCAAAATATACTTCTCAAATTTTTATATTTCTTTTCACTACTCACTTTGGATGGTTGTTTCTATGTTGCAGATATTTTGATTCTTAATAAGAAATATTTAGAATATAATTTATTAGATGGAGAATCCATATGATATATTATTTACCACTGAAGCAATAGAGTTCCATATATTCTCTTAGAACTAAGATTAAGAAAGAAGCTAGAATTATGGAATGGGACCATTGATGTTGCTTTTATTCGTATTTACTAGAACAAAAATGACCCTTACGCAGTAAATAGAGACTGTTTTCATATTTTGATGCCAGTTGATTAATGACCTTATCGAAGCGTTTCTGGTCTTACACGGCAAATTTTAATCACGCCAAATTCATTAGGTAACTCTTTTGCGACAGAGAAGACTCCAAGTTCTAAAGAACGCACAATATATGCTAAAATCAATAATACACATTTGACCTATTAATTATATTTGCGTTGTGTTTTATGGCTTTATGTCGCATTTTATCATGTGTCGTGGCTTTTCATTTTATCTTAATTCTTATCTCAAAGTGACATTAAGGAAAATATAAATGCACCGTTACTTATATTTAGTCGCTGCTTTTTCGTCTGGGCAACCAATAATTTTTAAAAAGAATGATCATTTAAGTAGTCAACCTATGTCAGAAAGATAACAAGATTAAACATTAAAGGAATATTGTACGGTTAATACACTGTTACCAATAAAATATTCATGGTAAAATATAATGATACTGTCGGTCAATGTTAGAAACTTGTTATTTCAAAGTTCCTTATCATTATGAGAGCGAACGTCATAATTTTGTACCACATAAAACACAAATGATTGTGTGAGGGAATTCTATTTTACGTCGATGGCAAATATACTTTGAGGACAATTACACTAAGTGAATTAATCTCTGAATAACTATCAATAGTAAATAACAATATGAGACTAAATTTGATCAAGACTGGTATATTATTTTCTGAATGTAGGTGCCTCGTTAATGTAACATATACATGTAAATCTTAATTTTAAACGTTATAAATCTCTTCGATAGCGATTCGTAATCAAAATTAAGATCTGTAAAATACATGCATCAGTTAAAAAAGCTATTAGATGACAGGATGTGGAATGCATGATGTTATATTCCAAAAGCAAACCAACGTAAATACAGGCGAAGAATGGCATTTAACACAGTATGTATGTATGTATGTATGTATGTATGTATGTATGTATGTATGTATGTATGTATGTATGTATGTATGTATGTATGTATGTATGTATGTATGTATGTATGTATGTATGTATGTATGTATGTATGTATGTATGTATGTATGTATGTATGTATGTATGTATGTATGTATGTGTGTGTGTGTTTGTGTGTGTGTGTGTATGTATGTATGTATGTATGTATGTATGTATGTATGTATGTATGTATGTATGTATGTATGTATGTATGTATGTATGTATGTATGTATGTATGTATGTGTTTGTGTGTTTGTGTGTGTATGTATGTATGTATGTATGTATGTATGTATGTATGTATGTATGTATGTATGTATGTATGTATGTATGTATGTATGTATGTATGTATGTATGTATGTATGTATGTATGTATGTATGTATGTATGTATGTATGTATGTATGTATGTATGTTTGTGTGTGTTTGTGTGTATGTATGTTTGTATGCATGTATGTATATATATATATATATATATATATATATATATATATATATATATATATATATATATATATATATATATATATATATATATATATATATATATATATATATATATATATATATCAAGTTCCTGTACTTTGTAAATGGCCTTAAATTAATTCATTCAAAATATTTGTTACTTTGGTTAGATTCTCGACTCGGCACATGGGTATTAGATAAAGCTTTCTTAGAGCTATCCGCGGGTCAATGATTCTTCCCAATGTTGTTCTTCGTCTATCACATGTACCGGCCGCATGTGGTTAAAGATGGCGTTATACCCACAAGCATGCTTAACCTGAGCACATGCACGTTAGCTTTGTTTGATTAGAGAATACTTGTTCTTCTTAAAATTATGTTTCTTAAAATGATCGTCTCCAAATATTGTAATGCATGTGTTCTTATCCACACATCTCATATATTATGACACAATTTGTTTCCAAGTCATTCCAATTCGATCAAAGGGATATGCATTATGTGGGCGTTCTATTGGATATGTTCTATTTGGGTGTTATATGTGAAGATATGTTGTGATTTGATTATGGTTTTTAACGTAGCTTTAACATTTTCTCAGTCATATCACTACGATGTATGCAGTGTTGCAGTTTTAGTGATATCTAGCACTAGGGCAACATGCCTCAGACATGGAGCATGATGTCCTATCGAGTCTCATCATCCTGACACCAAGCCTTCCACTCCTAACACTAACCACTAAATGCTGAGCGTCAAGCAAGCCAGTTGTCAGTATAATGTTTGTAGGTCTTTGGTATGACTCGACAAGGTATAGAACCCACGACCTCCCGCATCTGTGGCTGGCGCTCTAACCACTAAGCCACCGAAACGGTCACGCGTTCTATGTGAAACTTCCAATATTAGTAACGGAATGAAAGAAAGATTTTTTTCAATCTGACTTTGGAACATATTTTGGTAACTCTAGGGTATCCAAAAATCTCTTACTTGCGTGACGTCTGCTTTTATATCACAGAGAATGGAATTAAACTCCATTAGTTCGGTGGGTGAAGTCGTGTTCTCATCTCTGTTGTTTACGTCTAATAATATATATATGTAATCAATTGTTTGGCCATATATATATATATATATATATATATATATATATATATATATATATATATATATATATATATATATATATATATATATATATATATATATATATATATATATATATGAATTTCTATATGTTAATCACTAGTGACGTACGAAAATGGTTATAATAAGCATTAATAATACTCGTTTTCTGCATGATTCTAATATGGCATACATTTTCATCATAAATTTCTGATTTATGTTGCCCCAACTCATGCATAACGGACAAACTATGCTAAAATGTAGAGTGAGAGAAAATATTTTTCTAAATTGAAACTTTCAAATAGAAAATACACTAAGTAACCTAAAAGAATTTGGTTAGCCGTAAAGATACGTGTTCTCATTCCTTGGGATTCATCTACAGTGTTTATCAATGATACAAAGTTTGCATACCAGGACGCTATTATACAGTAAATTCCACGGTTGCGTGGTACACATTCTGTAATGTATTTAATGTTATGTTTAGTTGTTGTTTCTTAAACATGCTATAATGTTCTACAAATCGATTATTATTGATTAAATATGAAAATATCCAAGCGCCTCTCTCTCTCTCTCTCTCTCTCTCTCTCTCTCTCTCTCTCTCTCTCTCTCTCTGAAACATTGTAGCAAATAATGGGATAAATTAATGAAATGACGAACGTAGAGGATTTTTGTTTGTGTCATCCTACGATATCTCTAGACTTATGAATGATTTTAGAAGTTAAATGTGACCAGCCACCTGTATTGTAGAAACATGTAATATTATTATAGTCATAAACAAATTGCTTTTGTTATGTCTGCCTGCCATGAAAATACTTAATTAGGCTTAAAAATCCACTTTTGTAGAAAAGAAAAATATTCGGCAGTCTCCGCAAAAAATCGATAGTTTCCGCGTGCCAAACATGGATATGACGTATATCCCTTTTATTCACCCTAGTCATTCATGTGTTTAATTTCCCGATGTAGCTGTCTATGTGATATATCTTTCGATCGTTCTTTTGTATAGCAAATATGATGCACTGTGTTGCATATGGATGCAACCAAAAGAGCGATGATTGGAAAAAGGATTCTTTATTTTTCAGAAAGACAATATTTACCTGAAAAGTGAATTCAAGCTGTGAGGCAGAATAGGGTGAGGGGATGGGAAATTTGTATCATTAAAAAACCGGATTATAGTCAATCTGGCCCAATACAATTCGACCCAACTAGAGAGACAACTCGGCTCAACTTAATAGTTTGAACAATTTCCTTTTCCTAAAACAAAAAGTATATACCAAGATACCTTTTAGTAATAGGTTTTAGGGAAAAATCTAAACGTAAAAGAAATTGATATTCATACATATATATGAGAGAAAACACAAACAGACATATCTTGCTCGTTCTAATAAAAATATTTATATACATTTTTTATACAAAATATATATATGCATCTGCACAACGACATTCTCAACTTAAATACAGGCGAAGAATGGCATTTAACACAATCGAATTCGATATAATGAATGGACGACGAAATGTATACTATTATTTTAAATAAATATGTATGTATGTATGTATGTATGTATGTATGTATGTATGTATGTATGTATGTATGTATGTATGTATGTATGTATGTATGTATGTATGTATGTATGTATGTATGTATGTATGTATGTATGTATGTATGTATGTATGTATGTATGTATGTATGTATGTATGTATGTATGTAATCAATATTCATTTATTAAAAATAAAACATAACAGATAATATTATACAGAATATGCTTACATTTTTCTAAGGGTAGTGTACATGAGATATTAAAACAAATATATTTAATTTTAGACTTTACGTTGTAACACTACCGCATATAATACACACTCAACTACGAGAGAGAGAGAGAGAGAGAGAGAGAGAGAGAGAGAGAGAGAGAGAGAGAGAGAGAGAGAGAGAGAGAGAGAGAGAGAGAGAGAGAGAGAGAGAGAGAATAAAGTTTGAGCATTTTGTCAATGTTGCTGCAGCATATGAAGCTCTTAACAGTCAATTTTGTTATTTGTTTTTATTTTTCCAATGTTGTCTTAGCGTGTGCGCATGTAATTTAAAAGTTTGTCATTACTAGCAAATATCGTCAACCATATTTGCTCCATTATTCTATACAAATTTTGTGTTGAATTTGTGCCACCCCTCTTGCCAGGTACAAAAATGATAAACATACACTTATTTGAAATAAAGTGAAAGAAACTAATCTTGCATTGTTATCATTCATTCCTTCTTTTTCATCATGGTAAATTTATTATAGATTTTTTTTTTACATAGGAACGGTTTGCGTATCCGTCTTTAATGTAGTGTATATCGCTTATGTCAAATAACAAAATCAGAATGGAGACGAAAATATCACCCGATTGCTTGAAAGCACATGCCTCTCACGCATGACGTAACAAGGTGCAAACTGACCAAAATTGTATTGTATCCAGATTAAACTATACGAGAGGTATCTCGCAAATGAAAATCATTTAACATACATCCATTGTGACTGCAAATAATAATCTTTTCGTTAGAATGAAAACAAAATCAAAAATTTTTAAAGCACGTTACTGTTGTGCATACTATGTGCCCTGTAAACTATAAATTATGATCACATCTGGGAAACAAATAGAAGCCAGAGTGTTGGATAAACACAACTTGGAGCGAGCAATATACTCTTTCCTTAAACTTTTCGGCAAGATGTCAAATATAAAGGTTATTTGATTACAAAGCGAACAATCACGAAAACTGACTTTTGTATCTTTTAAGTGTGCCAATTTTTCTCAGGAAGTTGGCCGACATAAGGAAGTCAAGGTTGATTCCTTTGGATTCTTTTAAGTGAGCCGATTTTTTTTATATAATAAATTAGGCCGACATAAAAAAAGCCAAAATTTGATTAATTTTACTTGTATTAACGGACTTTTTCAAAATAAATTGAAACAATGGACCACTTTTAAAAGCAAAATAGTCTAGTGCGTCGCGCACGCATATCAGAATAGAATTGTAAATTAGTTTTCAGTAATTTCATCTAAATGTTCCCAGTCAATGGTTTATAGCGTTTTAGTTTTCTACAACAAGAGGCATGTATATCGCCTTGTGAGGAAAAATGTACGTGATTTGCGACTGGAGTCCTTTATATGTTAGGAATCGTAGATAAATTGTAGAAACTGCGTTGTATACGCCTTTTTCGAGTAATTAAATTATTTCTTCTTTACACTTGATAAATATTTTATCCTTTTTTGCGACTATAATCATTTTCAATCATATAATGCAAATCTGATATCAACAAAAAAAATGTTGGAGTGTGACAGGTGACCTTTAAGTGCAATTGAGAGAGAGAGAGAGAGAGAGAGAGAGAGAGAGAGAGAGAGAGAGAGAGAGAGAGACTGACTTGATGGTCTGTTTTACTGTTTATAAGTCTGAAAAATGACTTAAATAAAATGAAAATATATTAAAATATTTTTATTTTCTCTTGTTGGTTCGTCATTTCGCTTTGTTTCTATTCCCCATTAATTTTCAATAGCCAGAATGTGAATGGCTTAGTGTTCATGTGAAAGGAGTAGATAACCAAATGTGTATGGTGTTCTACTTTTGTTATTAAAACCATCTTTCATGTTTAAATCAAAAATATATATTATATTGATTTGATCAATATGAACAAAAATAGGAACTAAAGAGAAAACAATCATTCTATCACTATTCAGAGGTCATTGTAAATATCCACAAAAGGCAACGAAATACATTTTGTAGCGGATATACTCGGGGATGGGAGGAGTTTATTCAGTATGTCTCTACACAGCTGCATGTAGTAATTCTGAAGTCCATTTAAAGGGCAAATATATGCATTTGTATATAAATTAAATATATGTACAGTATGTAAGCTGTATCAATGACATGCCACTAATTCTATTCATTTTTAATTTAAAGGAAACTCATCAAGCTTCGTTTTCTTTGAACGAAAATTCTATACATCTCGCAGTATATCATTGATACAGCGTACATACTTTACATGGCTCAAGCACAAATGTAACATTTTTAAAATTATTTTCAAAATTTTACTTCTCGACAAGAGTGTTGAACTGAAGTATGAGTTCTTTCTCACCTAGTTTTGGCTTATAACTCCGTTGCAATTATTTCTCAGGTAAATGGAAAACACCCTGTCGGGTCTTTGTGTCATCACATTTGGTATAAAGAAATGGAATCAATACTGTTTTGACTTCTTTTTGCCTCTCAGCACGTATAACTAAAATACTTTATGTTAGGTTGCCATAGCATCAAGAAGGATTTTTTTTTTCCATGAAGTGGTCTATCCACATTTTTTTTATACATTTTCCTTAATGAGCATAATGATATTTTAAATATCTGTATTGCTTAAACTACAAAATTTGAAGTGGATGGGAACAACATGTTTCATGATGCATGAAAACAATAGAACTATTTCATGAAAGACTTCCAGTCATAAATTTAATTTGCATGGTAAAATATATGCTGTGAACTATTATTTAACATATGCTTTGGCTTCAATGGCAGTTTTAGAATTGTCACTACGTTCTTTTAACCATGAAATCATCATTCTTGTGTATAAATGTGTTACGTGTCTAGGCTAGTATAAAAGTAACAAAGAGTGAAGCCAATAAGCTCTTCAAAATTTAACAACCGATTTATTTCCCTACAAAAACTAGATGCAAAGAATTAAACGGACTTACGATTTAAGAATCAAATCCATAATTAATTAAAGAATTAAAACATAAAAGTCATA